ATGAGGACCCGCTCCCTCTGTAGATAAAAACAGCTCATTCTAAGGTAACGAAAACGCGAACATTTTTATTTTCAGGTGAATAATTTATTCCATTAATGCCAATAGATCCTCCTAAATGTTACACACTGGACCTTTAAAGTGGTAGCTCTGTCCCTGGCCTCTATCTCTACGTGATACATTAGATTTTCATAAAATACAAGCCACTTATTTTTAAAATAAAACAAATTATATAATGATTACAGTTACGTATGACCGATGATATAAAATGCTTGCCTATACTTGTTTGTGTGTCCTAGCTGAGTGGAAGTGTGATGACCATGTACAGTGGGGACTTTGGGAACGTGGAGGTTCAGGGAAACATCCAGTTCTCCATCAACTACATTCAGAGGCTCAGAGAGTTTCACATCTTTGTGGCTGAGTGTCGAGATTTGGCTGCAGTTGACCCAAAGAGGGGCCGCTCAGACCCGTGAGTACTCAAATATTCTAGGATCATAATCGAGGATAAACATTTCTATACTGTCTGCAGTGTTCATTCGCTGCTAAGTAAGATGAATGACTGTTGACTTTCAATTAACATTGAAAGAGAAATAGCTTGTTTACATACACCCTAGTAGGTTTTGAGTCATATCCTGGATGTAGCTGGCGTTGACTGAATCCTACTAACTGTTCAATAAATTGATCCATTTTGGTGAACTAACAACTTGGTTATTTAGTTTTTTTGTCCCACAAGCACTAGCTGCCAGACTAATTTTTTGGTACAGTCAAACATACATATACATTCAATTAATATATTAATTTCAATTATCAATTTCAATTATTAGTGTCATTTAAAGAAAAAGAAAAAATATGTCTAGGGTTACATCTTACAAAAAGTGTACAATGTAAAAAATTATCATGGTGGAAGTCATTCTTGGCATGTTAGTTATTTTAGTTTACCAGTTGTTTCTGTGAATCAGAAAGGTCAATAACTGTAGCCGCAGATCATATGGTATTTTATAGTGAAGTTGCTGTTTTTGTTTCACTTTTTAAGGTATGTCAAAAGCTACTTGGTTCCTGACAAAGCTAATCTTGGAAAGAGGAAAACATCTGTAAAAAAGAAGACGCTAAATCCAACATTCAACGAGATCCTCCGGGTAAGAATCTACATATAATAAAGCCAATAGTACTTAACATACACACTTTCCCACGCTGTACTGCGTAATACTTGGCGAGCATGACAATCAACAAACAAAAGCTGCTTGCTCTTCCCCGTCCTTACAGTATCGTGTTCGCATGGAGTACCTCAGAACCCAGACACTCATTCTCTCCGTTTGGCATCACGACACCTTTGGCAGGAACAGTTTCCTGGGAGAAGTAGACGTGGATCTTTCCAAGTGGGATTTTGACCACACCCAGATGAACTACTTAGCCCTGAAAGCAAGGGTAAGGAGAAAAACACACACACAAGGCTGCTTTATCCACAGCAGTTGTTTCCTCATCAAATAACAGCGGGTTATCTAAGAATGTGGTCAGCCTGCTCATTTCCCCAAAGTCTATTTGAGCTAGTTGTATCACATGCACTGTAGTTATTGTATAAGCTGTGTACAAAGGAATTTCATGAGGGATTTTGGATCTACTGTTTTTGTAATGTATGCTCTGTCAAACGTTTCAGACTATACCCACTCTAGCACCATCAAATGGTCGAGGAGAGATGAGACTCGCCGTACGTTTCCTGCCACAGATCATCCACAGCGAAGGTCTGTGCACGGTTTTATTCTATTTTATAAAAACAAGCTTTGTTTTTTATGTAAATTTTAGTTATCCGAAAATCCCACCCATTGTACAGGCTAGATATGGTTCTCTAAATATTTTGTATATTTTGTCATTTCTTCTTCAAAGGATTAGCTAAGGAGGCTTCAAACACCGGAGAGATTCACATTTGGGTAAAGGAATGCAAGAACCTGCCTCTAATCAGGGCCACCATTGACCCCTATGTTAAGTGGTATGCACAAAACATCCATTTTAGTTCAAGAAACTGTTCTGCATGTTGGGCAACAGTCTCAGTTGCTTTCTTACTGAGAGTTAAATGAGAAGATTGATACCATTCTTAACGTCTTTACACTGGAAACGATTCAACTGTGAATCCCCTACCAGCACCAATTAACCACTAATTAACACCTTGTACCTTGATTGTTTAATATGTACAAAAACAGTAGCCTGGGTTTCTACAGGGGACAGGGGCTACATTATTTCTTGGCCTCCTGGTGTATCCACTCCCTGTAAACCAGCTATTTGTAATTTTTTTACCCTTGAATTTTTGTACAAATTAAACAAAGTTTTTAAATAAATTGATCAGCTTTTGAGATGCTGGTAGATGTTGCATTCACATGGATTCAGGAAAACAGTAGACGGCAAACCAGATGTCATGTTACTGGATGAGAACGGGACGATAGATCTGGACAACAAGACCCTAATAATTAATAAATTACATAAACTACACAAAATCATTTCATTTAATATATTTATTACATTCTTTGTAAACAACAGCAACATATCGTTATGCATGTTTTGTTTTTCCTGTTCTGCCGTTAACTGCCTGAACCCATGTGGATTCAGCATTTGTCTTTGTCAATTTAATCAAATTTGTCAACACAACAAGCATGAGGAGGCATTGGTACATATTGAGACTGAACTTCTTAAATCTTGCTTCTGACAAATGCCTCCAGTATTAATTATAATAGAAAAAACTAAAACGAACTGAAACTAAACTTAATTGAAAACAAACATTTAAAAAAAAAAAAAACATTTAAAACAAAATGAAAATTTAAAACAAAATGAAAATGTAAAACTAATGAAAAATACAAAAATATAACAACTCTGCTTTGGACAGAGCTCGACTAGCTGTTTTCCTCTTGTTTTAAGTCCTTATGCTAAGCTAAGCTAACCCATTCCTGGCTGTAACATTAGCTCCATATTGAACGGGCTTATATGAGAGAGGTGTCGATCTTCCCATCTAATTTTTAGCAAGAAAGTGTGTTTCCCAAAATGTCAAATAATTCCTGGCATATTTAATTGAAGTTTTCTGCTGTATGAGTCAACATGTTTCCTTTCCCTCTTCATCCCAAGCTTTGTGCTGCCAGACACAAGCAGGAAAAGTCGCCAGAAGACACGCGTGCTGCGGAGGACAGTAGACCCAGCGTTTAACCACACGATGGTGTACGATGGCATCAGAGAGGCTGATCTAGCAGAAGCCTGCGTGGAGCTCACTGTCTGGGATAGAGACAGGCTAGCCAGCAACTTGCTAGGGGGCCTGAGGCTTGGAGCTGGAACAGGTACATCCTACTTACGATTACACAAGCTATAAAATCTACAAATCAAGTGTTGTTTTATGTATAAACTGTGGCGTTATTGCTGCGATATGAAAGCGACTCACTGAGAAACTGTAAGAATAGAGGTGGCTAAAAATCTGAAGAGGGGCTTTAAAGCAGGGCTGTCTCATTGTGAGGTAAAAGCGGTAACCACTGAGCCACCAAACTGTTTACTTATTCAATATTCACAACTACAGTCTATACACTTACATAGTATATATATATATAGAGAGAGATTTCTATTTAGAGGACAGTATTGTCTGCCAGATGACAAAATCAAATTGGTGTACAGTTTTCAGGTCAGCAATCGATTTTTTCCCTGTATTTTGGGATGCAACTTTTGAATAAAATGATTTACATTGTCAATGAATCTTTAAGATTAAAATATTTTCTCGATTTATTGTTTGGTCAGCAAATAGTTTTAAAAAAGAGTAAAAAAAATGGCCATAACCATTTGCATTTGTGGAAGTCCACTAAACTACCAAATGCTGGCAAAAGCCCCGTATAGTGGACTTTTTTTAGTGAATAGTGAATGAGATCATAAATGTCTGTGTCATCCAAGAAAACTGACCTGTAGTCCTGAAAAGTCTAATCAGCCAAATACCAGACACCTGTGCGGGTGTTCTCTGGCTGTAAACACCCTGGCCGTGGCACCCCTTATACAGACAGTCATATCTCAAAAAGCAAAATGAATCATGTAGATTTTGGCTGAACATGCCGATACGTTATACGTGCCCATGAATGGGAGACTGGAGGTGAACTCATTAATGAAGAGTCACAGCTCTGTCATCTAGACATTTACATGCTGAGTGAAAGGAGTCATAGCCTGTTATTTTAATATGCAATATGTATGTGAATAATGAAACTCTGGTGAATTCTAGCAGCTACAGTGGATCATGTCACTACATGATCACTCACTCTGGCCCAATACATACCCTGTATACTCTGAAATGCAATTTCAAAATCTAATTAAGTAAAACTATCCATGAATTGTTTAAATAATGTTACTAGATGAAAGTATGTGGGAAGAGTTCATGCAGCGCTACATTTGTGCATTCCCACCATTCACTTCCATATACACAGCTGAATATCATACAGTGGTATGATAGTAAAAATTGAGAGAAAGTCCTAAATGAAAGGAAGAATTTGGCCGCCCTGCTAGCTCGCCTGGTTGAGCTGGCACTGTGCTTTTCTCTGATTTCTGCTTGTTTGTGAAATATTGGATAATTTCACATTTTGGGCTTCAAACTGTTATTTAAATGAAACCATGTGAGAAGTTTTGTAGGGGAAATATTACTTTGATGGACCTGCTATGAACTCATAGACAAAAATGACTGAAATGTGACAAAAGGCCCCAAGTAAACACAGCTTTTTTCTAAGGGGTCCCAAGCCAAAATGGTTTGGAACCACTGGTTTAATCTTTAATAATGTGATGCATTTAGAAGACTATCCTATTATGTTTTCCATGTGAATTCTTAAACTAACTAGTAACTGCAGTGGTGAAATGAATGAACGTATGCTGCTGCTAAAAAGTTCATTATTTCACTCTGAAATGCAGTAGACATCAGTTAAATTAGTTGCATGTTGTTACTTTACACCACTGCATGTTTTTAATGCTTGTATTTGTCCGTATGTCTCCCTGTAGGCAGAAGTTATGGGGCAGTGGTGGACTGGATGGACTCAACTCCCTATGAGGTGGCCCTATGGGAGCGGATAAAGTCCACCCCGAATGAATGGGTGGAGGACGTACTCCCATTAAGAATGCTGAATTCTGCCAAAACAGCTTTTAAATAAGTAAAAGTATACCAAATTGCCATACTGCAAAGGCGGTATATTTTTAAGAGGTAAAACCACAGTAAAGTGCATTGATATAAATTACAGCAACCTATGATGCCACCTAATAAAGCAGGGTGGCGTTGTGAACATTTCTGTCAACATCTTCCTCAAAGTCCACAGGTGCTCAAGGAAGAGGTGAAATGATACTATTGAAACACCCCTGGAAACTCCCCTGGAAAGTGAATTTTGTATAAGTCCAGTAACTGGCACAACTGTGGGCTCTTATTCAGGCTGTAAAGAAGAAATTTAAGACACCTGCAGGTACATGTGTTTGCAGCACTAAGGCACGCAAGGAAATGTAATCAAGAAACCATGCAACGATTACACTAAATGCCCAATAAAAACGTTTAAAAACTAACTCATATGTAACAAAGGTAACAAAACACAGCTGTTAGATTTATATCCTCTAACACTATATACAGTATGGCTAAGGTCCACCAGTTGTATTCTAAATTTGTTAGTTACCCCCAACGTACAACCACTTTCTAAATATCTCATGAGATGATTAAGATGTTAACCAACATCCACATTAAGAAAAGTGATGGCAAATAGTGGTAACCAAAAATGTGCTTTGCATTGTATTGATGTTTATTTATTGAAGTTTCTCAAAGAATGTTATTCAAATGTCCACAATAATGAAAGTTTATGGTAAATGGAAAAAATTCCATTTTCTGCACAGAATCAGATCATACATAACATTTTCTTTAGTATTTCTTTTTTTCCCCCATCCCAGTACTTTAAAGCAGTGATTCTCAAACTGTTTCTGGCATGCCCCCATTCAGAAGCCAAGACAATGTCAACCCTACCAGATTTTTTATCAGTCATTACCAATGATCAGGTAAGCAAATAATAGAAAAGTTGAATTTTACCAAAATAAAAGTCAGCATGATAGCATCTCTTGTTTGTTTATTTTCCCAGCATAAATCATTATTCAGCCCATGCAGTGGCTTTATGCCCCACCAGGGGGCCCATACCACAGTTTGAGAACCACTACCTTAAAGCTTTTGTCTAGTGAACTGTAGATTAATTTAACTTTGACATGTCCTTTGTTAAGCAATATCAAGACAATGTATTTTTTATTGCAGTGGAAATTTAAGAAACTTATCCTAAAAGTATATACTGTATCTATCTTATGTCACCTCAAACTATCCAAAACAATCTTTTATTCACTTTTTTCACTCTGAAAACCTTGTTTCTCAGACTAACATTTTGACAGTATTGTGATGAGTACATGAGATGAACTGCACTTAAGTATGTTAACCACAAGTGGGATTAAAAAAATTAAATGCAGAACAACTTTCACAATTGTTTTTTTTTTTTTTTTTTTTTTTGTATTGCATATTCTGATAAATGTCAGTGTTAGAGTAGAAATTGACCTACAGATTGTCTGAATAACATGCTGGTTTTGAATGGAAAGTTGATGCTCCAGGTCAAAATTAAACTCAACATCTACCTGATCAATTGGCACAAAACTTTGTGGACTAGAAACATTCATGATTCCCTTGAAAAAATGTCTCAACTATCAGATGGATCGCCATCAAGATGGTGAACATGGTAAACGTCTGCTTAACTTAAGCACGTTTATAATTATCTAATGTTAGCATTTAACCTTACAAACCAGGTATTATGACTGTAGACTATATAGATAGGATATTATTTTACTAATTCTGTGCCCCCCATCTCCACATTAATCCTTAGTGTGATGTGATAAAGACTTTGTTGACCCAGATTACATAAAGAACTGTTATATCAAGTGGAAATGTCAGTGACAGATGTCTTAAAACCTGGCAAATAAAACAAAAACTATCCACATGGCCAAGTACCTCCAGCGGATAAGTGAGAAAATATGTTTTTTTTTATTTGTTACTTTGGTGAAGCACTTTTGCAAATTGTAAGTATAGATAACTGCTGACCACCTGGTTGTGTTTGTGAAATGGAGAAGCTAAACATCTCATTTTCTACAGTATTACACTACAGTATGATAGTACTGACAACACAGCGGACATTGTAGATGATAAAGAGAGTTTCAGACAGAAGTGAAGAGACTCTACCTTTTCTCTCTCTCTATCTATCTCTCTTAGGAGATATGATTGTTTCTTTTTGGTTTTCAGACGGAGAAACACGTAGTTGAGATGACATTGCAGAAAATTACAGCCACCACAGGGATGCTGTAGCTGCTCATGCCGTGGGATGATGCACCTGTGTGAGAAAGGAAGACTCATCAAGACTTTTCATGGTATCCTGCTATGTGTCTATGTCTGTTAAGTAGTCCATCTAAGACATTTTTATAAGACTAGTCTACAGACCTCATATAGGTATACACATTGTAAGTGTGATACATCACATTCAGGGTAGACTCTAGTAATCAGTAAGATTGTTGGGATTTGAAATTGAATTACATTTTAGCCATGCTAGCAGCATGGGGAGGTCTGTCAGCCCACCCCTTTGGTCCAGACTGAGATAACAACAACTATTGGATTGATTGCCCTGAAATTTTGGTTTGGTTTGACATTCATGGTCCCCAGAGAATCTCAATGGTCTCCCGACTATTCCTCTTGCACCACCATGGGATTGACATTGGTGGTTTTAAGTGATTGGAAACTAGTGGAGCATTGCCATAGCGATCATATTACCATCATGGATGTGGTTACCATGCTGATGAAACATCACTTTGCCTACGGTCTACAAAGCTGCTAGCATTTTTTTTTTTTTTTTTTTGTATGTATGTCTGTACTTTGCATATCTCAGGAACTGTTCATCCAAGCAATTTCAAACTGAGCCAATGGTCCTCTTTGCTAAACCAAGGGAGTACAGTGTCAAATTTGGTGCGATTTGGCAAGATAGTGGCACTTTAACAACAAACTTTACATTTAACAAAGATTGTGAGTGGTTTAGAGAGGTGTGAAATCCAACACCAGAATGCAGAGCAGCTGAGCTAGCAATCAGCAATAAGCTAGTTTATTAAAAAAAAGGCAACGTTGTGAATTACCAGATACTTAGTTATTCATCAGCATAAAATTTCCCACACAAACAGCTGCTGCCTGTGCCCGGTTCATTTAGACACCGACAACGGTAATAACTGTTTAATAAGTAGGTAAGTGGTCAATAAAAAGAAAAGACATTTTGCACTACTCTTTACGTTTCATTGTGCCAGCCCACTCATACAGATACTCTTACCGTTAAGAACTGAGGAAACTTGAGGATCTGCTGTAAAAATTAAACCAAAAATATAATTTTAAGGTTAATATAGTTAATTCAACAAAATAGATATATAAGATAAAATAAACCAAGCACAGGTGCATGTTAAGGTAATTCCATTTGCTTTCCTCTTTTGCTTACTTTCGTGATATTTTTCAGTCTGATAGTATGAAGGGCTATCTGTAGTGCTCAGATCATCAGTCACATCACTTCTCTGTTCAGTCACGAGGATGGCGGGCGAGGTGAGTGTAGTGATGTTTGACACATACAGGGCCTCTCTTTTTCGCCGGCTAACGCCAGGGCTACAATTCTGTTCCGAAAAAGAAGAAGACAAAAGATAACTCTGTATTATTTACGCTAGTTGAAGTATGTTTGTGATCAATCCAAACGGCACATCTCTTAAAAACTCACAAAGGAAGGCATCAGGAATCTTTTTTGGCCTTGAAACTGTTATGATTTGCTCATCATAGTTAATCATAGTTATAGCTTAATAGTCCATATGATGTCAAAAAGATGTGAAATTACATCATGTGCCTAAAAGTGTTTTGAAAAACCATCTGAGTATCAGTAAATAAAATGTCCATAAAACTGAGCAAAAGAATAAAGATAATAAGACACATGTTGGTGATAAAGCATAATGTAGAGAGTCTGACTCACAGGTATTAATTTGCTACACGAGGACACTTCACAGAGTCTGGTGGCACAATGCAGGTAAAATGTGGAAACTGTCTTATTCATGTGCTCCACAAATCTGAAGGCCTCAAAGGAGAATGTTGCCTTCTGAGACACCCCGTTGAGCTCCACCTTAGTTTGTGCACCACGAGTACACCTTAGGTGGAAAAAAAAGAGGAGTTGAGTTTCAGAGTAGGTGGAAGGTATACTATAGTTACATATATGCAACTCACCCCATAATAAGGTCATAAGAGGTGCTCTGCACGGGATATGGTGATGTTGTAGCGTAACATCTGTCCAGCAGAACATTAAACCTGCAAGGACAGACAGGTCGATTTTAAGTGTTATTTTTCAGAAAACTGTCAGCACTTTAAAGGAATAGTTCAAACATTTGACAAATACTCTTATGATGATTTGAAAAGATGTTGTATTTTTAGACTTTATACGGATTAAAGAAACAAGATATAGCCAAATGTGTTAATCAATGAACTTTAGAGGTGCCAGTGGTTGGATATTGCTAGCTGTTTCCCCCTGTTTCTGGACTTCATGCTAAGCTAAGCTAACAGTCTGCTTGCTGTAGCGAGATTGGTATTGATCTTCTCATCTGACTCTCAGCTATTAAACAAATCAGTATATTTAACAAAATGTCCAACTATTGTTTTTTATACCTGTCTGTTAGATTTGTAGCTTCAACTGCAACATAAACCTTGGTCTTCAGGTTGAGTCCTGTTTGTGGGATAGTAAGTATCTCTTGGTACCCTTGATCCTGTTCCACAGAAAAGTAGAAACAAGTTAAAAATGGCAACAACAAAAAAAATACTCTCTAATCTAAAAGCTATAGAGCAGGTCTTACCTTGTAGAGCGTCATACTCAGTGTGCTGATAAAACTACCATTGTTGTCTCTTATTGCAAGATTCACACCTGATCTGTATTAAATGAAAAGAAATTCATATACATGTATTTATTAAAACGTTGAATGAATCAAAATGTAGTTGATTCATGCTTATGTCACAAGCAGTGTAGGTGCTATTCGGGGTGGCACTTGATATACTCACACAGCCAGTTGGAGTGTTTGTTCCAGGAGAATACTGCATCGGGTAAGAGGGCAGGAGAAATTGTACAGGGATTTGGGAGATAGGTGATCATAAGCTATATGGGTCTACAGAGGTAAAGGTCCCAGAAGATGTCTGACGAAACTGGACATTTTGAGAGTCTCAGAAAACGCTCCCGCTATCCATTCTGACTGCTTAAAATCTATTAAAAATAAACATGATATTTGCCACTGAGATCAGTTTTCAAGATGCATTCTTTGATGGAGGACAAGTATGGATGATTTTCCACAATTGTCTGTATAATGCCCTATCAATCCATAAAATGCAGCAAAAACAAACTTTACTTAACTGCTTGTGTCCTATTCTAATATTCATACAGCTGAGATCCTTTGTGGTAATGTAAGTATTTGTGAAGAGTACCTCAAACCTATTATTTGCAGGATCTTGATGGAACTGTTCATTTTATGGGGGAATCTGAATTTTAGGATTGGTGGGTCAGTGGTTCCAGTCAGCTACCCCGAAACACTCAGGTTTGCCTGTACTCTCCATTGAGACCCTGAAGACTCATTGTAAAGAGCTTGGTACCTGGGCAACGGTAATGCCTCAGGTCTTATGTTCTCAGTTCCCGCGAACACATTTTATGTCGGAGTTCTTCCTGGGAGGAGTAAAAGAGGGAGGGATTTAAATCCAACAGAAATCTTTGAAGTTGAAAATACAGTACTTAAAGAACATATGAAAGAAAATTCCACAAAACCTGGGGCTCTGTTTGTTTCACTAAGAACGCAGAGCTCTGGTATCTGGGCTTTGGTCCTCAGAATTAGGCACACAAGGGTTACCAGTCTCACTGGTCTGAGGTTGCATCTGAAAACAACAAAACAATGGGGATCAAAATATTAATTTTCTTTTTTTCAGCAGGAACTACTCTGGAATAAAAAAAATCCATATCAAAACCCAAAAGGCCTATTTCTGGCTGGTCATGATTTATGCAGAATCATGTGACATTTTTTCATTTTACATGAAATTACAGTTATCACTGAATTCAGTTGCATGTTCAACAAAATCTTTCCAGAGATGATTAATAGCAAACTGAGTTTCAATTTATTTCCTACAAATTGTGTATCAAATACATTTGATAAAAAAAAAAACTACAGGTAGAAGTAACAGGTAGAAGTTCCCATTGTTGCAATAGTGAATATTAGTATCTTCATTCAGGTATATCATTTGATATGTATTATACATGGGGAAAGATGGTTAATTTATTCTAGGCACTCACCTGTAAGTCTTCATTTTGTGTCTGCCTGTTTGTGTCAATATCTCTCCATTTATAGTGGCCACCAAATAACAAAAAGGTGTAAGACGAAACTTGTCAGACAAAAGAGTAACATGAGCCAGGGGGCATAAAATGCGGGACTCCCTCAACAAAAAAAGGTTATTTTATATGTGTTATGTCCCTGTAGGAAGATCAATGCTGGAAAAGGTACACACCCATTGATACTTTGTTGTTGTGCGTGAGAACATAAATCAGCTATTTGAATATGGGATGGAAAATCCACAGCAGCTCGGGAGTTTTTGATCCATCCTAGGGAAGTCCCGATATGATCTCAACGATCGGTATCTTCGCTGATAATGTTCTACTAATACTAACTATTATATTAATTAATCCAAATACATTGGTATACTGACTAGGTGAAAATGCCCCATAGCAGAGGTGATGTAAGTAAAATCATTTGTAAAGCCATGAACCTGCTGTGATGCTTGTTTTTTCTCTAAAATGTTTAGTCCTGTGCAGCAGCTTACAGGTATACAATATACTCCTTTACAATATACTGTAGGCTATTTATACAGCACCATATGTTTCTCTGCAGTTCTGTCAAAATGCAATTTGTTGGTTTGATTTGCTGAATGAACATGCAGATTATCCCTAGTTCTACATTTTATGATTACCTTTATGGTGTTTTACTACTTTTTTCATTGTGGAGATTTTTTTGTGTGATATCAGTGAATGATGGCCTACAGCTGTGAGGTGCTGATTAGGATAGGATACAACAGGGGGTTCCCAAACTTTTTCATGTAAAGGGCCCCCATAACAGATGCACATTAGACCACAGACCAGGATGCATGAAGCCTACTGACTATTTTGTCTTGTAGTGCCACCAACAAGTTCATTCTGTGTAAAATTTCTTAACCACCATTGGATTGCCATCAAATGTGGTGCCAATAAAGTCCCCCAAAGGCTGAATTTGAATGACTTTGTTGATCCTCTGACTTATCATCTTGCGCCACCAGCAGGTCAAAGTTTTAAATTATCTAGTGAAATATCTTAACATCTTCTTGATGGATTTGCTCAAAACAGAAATTGTGATCTCCTGACTTTTTTGTTGTGCCACCAGCAGGTTGAAAGTTTTATCCACAGCAAATCTTGCTTGACTGTTTTTGATGGTCAGTGATTTTATACTCAGAAATAAGTCACTTATCACACAGCGCCAGTTTATTAATTAGTTTATAATAACCTGAAAAAATGAGTTATTGTGTATTTTCGGTTTTGTAGCCACTGTAGTTTCGGGAAGAGAGGATGTTAAGGATATTAAATGACAACGAGGAAACAATGTGACAATGTAAAAGGATTAAATGGGTGGTCTGTGGTGATGAACCTACAGAAAGTTATTGTCCAAGTCGGCACATCCCTTTGGTGTTAAAGAGCTTTATAGTGAGATTTAGCTCATTGTTTAGCTGTCAAGCCCACAAGTTTACTCTTTGGGTTATTCATGCAGATTTCATAGTGTTTTTGGCCAGTGCAGGCTGCTGTTTCAGTGAAAACCCACTGTATAATACCTGCTGAGCACTAAACAGTTAGCAACAAGCTGATGGTGAACATAGTGGAGCATTTAGCAGCTAAAGAATCAGATATTTCCCTCAGGAGTTGGTGGAGACCAAAAACAGAGCCTGAAGAGAGTGACTATTGGATATTTGCCAGCTCATTCTAAGGTAATAAAAATATTCTTATTTTCAGGCCATTATGCACTAATGAAAACATTAATGCTATATTCCATTTCTGCCAATAGATCCTCACAAATGGATCTTTACGGTCAATATCAAAATTCTTAAAACTTTTTCAAAGATTTTGACGTAAGGCCTCTCCACGAGACGGGGAGTCAAGATTGGGTGAAAATGCATGAGCCACCTTAGGGTCTTTGTCATTTCAATAGAAAATGTTACCAAACAAATTTGTAATTAATCAAATTACCAAAAAAGTAAATGACATACAGATAACCCAGAGCTTTGACATCAAGTCATGTCTATACAATATTAAAGTTTTTAGCTGCATGTTGATTTTATATTTTAATGTAATTCACTGTAAGGGAGTACAGTAAAAAAAAAACTGTTGTTTAGATCAGTTCACAATCAGTACTCTAACTTGAGTTACATCAGTCGGTTTTTTCATCACTCAACCAACCTATAGCTTTCTCCGGTTCAGTGTGTTCATGCATACAATAAGAGACAGTCAACGTTTTAATGTTTAGTTTAATGGTGTGTTTTGTTAAAGAATAAAGCACGAGTGCTTCCTTCATCATTGTCACTGAAGACATTTGTGAAAGCTTTCTTAGCCTGGAGCTAAGAAGGTTCTAAGAATGCTTTTATCTTTGCTAAGTGCAGTGTGAAAAGTCCTTAAAAGTACACAATTTCTAACTGATTACAAATAATGAGACCATTCATTAAATACTTCAATATGACTCTGACAACATGATTAAAACTAACACTTAATTATAATACACAATTTTTGTACAGATTCTGTGTCCCTATCTCCTTATTAATAAACTATGTGATTCACAATGATTATAAAGTTGTGAAGATTACTGCTGACCAGCTTGTTATACTGCTGTTTGTGAAATTGAAAGGCTAAACAGTACTATGACAGTATGATATATCTGATTATTGTTTCTCATGACTTGTTTTACTGTCTCAACAGCATCACAGTCATGCTTTGTAGATGATGAAGTATTAAACTGGCAGTTTGGGAGATGTGTCAAGTGACTCCACTCTCAGTCAGGTGATGTTACTGAATCATTGGTTTTCTCCGTTTGATGTACAACGCAAAGTAAACAGCCATGGCGATGAGGAGAATAGCTAGGATGACGATGCAGACAATTACAGCCACCACAGGGCTGCTGTAGTTGGCCTCAAGTGACGTAGCTTTGTGAGCAGGGAAAAAGAACAGCACAAAGATATCATATTATACTTCATGGGTATATTAATCAATGTTGATGATTACTAACTGAACAGTAGTGACCAAGAAAGTAGTCCATCACAGACAAATTTGCTGGTTCTTACCAGGAGCAGCCGATAAAGTCTGAGGGTCTCCTAAAAAAAGTAACCAAAACTATGGTCAGTAATTTAGGTTTCACATTTTGTGTTATTATTGGTAAAATTAACTGATTAAATGAACAGTTTGACATTTTAGGAAATGTGCTTATTCGCTTTCTTGCTGAGAGTTAGATTAGATTGATAAAGCTACTGTCAGTAGTCTTTCAACTTAGCTTAGCATAGATACTGGATACCTGAGGAATCAGCTGGCCTGGCTCTCGTGAAAAAAATCTACCTATTAGCACCTATAAAGACCTATAAATATTTCCATTGTTTAAAACATACAAAAGTGTAAAAATAACATTACAATGTAAGGTTCTTAATGTAATTGACTGGTGGCTGTAGCTTCGTTTGTAGCATATACACGAGAGTGGTTTCAGTCTTCTCATCTCTTCTCAACAAAGTAAATAATTGCATTTCCCAAAATCTCAAACTATTCCTTTAAGAGAAGACGCCACAAGGAAAGATGGCCATTTTTTGATTTCAAGTGTCCTCCAGACAAATCCATTGACATATATTAAGTTATTATCAGGTTTAATTTGCACATTTTAAGGTAATACTGTTTATTTAGCATTTGTATCTATTCACCATATAAAATGTCATTGTGATTAGATATAGGAATATCTGTGTTTGTTACAATTTGCCCTAAAGGCTTACCAGTGCTCTGCTTTCCCACAAGAATGGCAGTCGAGGAGACTGTAGCGTTGGCTGACACATCCTCAGCTTCTCTCTTTCTCCTGCTTGGGGAACTTCCACAGTTCTGTTCAAGATTGATAAAATTAACAATCAAGACTGATGTAGACTGGTGTATGAATTAACTACAATTCCTATTTGTGATATCATAAAATATCTACTTACAGGCATTATTCCACTACACAAGGACACTTCACAGAGTCTGGTAACACAGTGCAGGTAGAATGTGGAAACCGTCTGATTTTTGTGCTCCACAAATCTGAAGGCCTCAAAGGAGAATGTTGCCTTCTGAGACATCCCGTTGAGCTCCACCTTAGTTTGTCCGTCCCTTGCACACCTTGGGTGAAAAAGAGATGGGAAGCGTGACTGCACATGTTGAAGTACAAAGAGCTAGCATGGAGCTGAGTGTAAGTTGGAAGATATTATATACTGTGATTTTATGTACACGTGTGACTCACCCTATAAAAAGGTCATAATAGTGGTCAGACATGGGATTTGGAGTTGTGGTAGCGTAGCATCTGTCGAGCAGCACGTTGAACCTTTTAGGACAGACAGATGAATTTTTAGTGTCTTTTCTTTATAATGTAACTTTGTTTACTGTAACTTGATAAAACTTAAATACCTGTCTGTCAGATTGGTAGCCTTAACTGCAACATAAATCTTGGTCTTCAGGTTGAGTCCTGTTTGTGGGATAGTAAGTATATCTTGGTACCCTTGATCCTGTTCCACAGGATGGTAGAAACAAAATCAAGTTATTAAATGTTAAAAAAATACTCTGTCTAAATCTAAAAGCTATAGAGCAGGTCTTACTTTGTACAGCTGCATACTCAGTGTGCTGATGAAACTACCATTGTTGTCTCTTATTGCAAGATTCACACCTGATCTGTATTAAATGAGAATAAATTCATACATATATATGTTAAAAAGTTGAATGAATCAAAATGTAGTTGATTCATGCTTATGTCACAAGCAGTGTAGGTGTTATTTGGGGTGACACTTGATATACTCACACAGCCAGTTGAGTTGATTGTCAGGAGATACGCATCGGATTAGAGGCAGGAGAACCTTGTACAGGATCCTGTGGAACGATAGGTATCATTAACTGCAGAGGTGTCTACAACGGTCAAACCAGTCCCAAGAGTTGCGAACGGACATTTGAGAAGTCAGAAAACGCTCCGCTCCCAATCTATTGATTATCTATAGAAAAACAAACATTATGCACTGAGATCAGTTTTCAGATGTATTCTTTGATGCAATCCGTGCCATAATTAATTTAAGTGTTTATTTATTTTGCATAATTTTTATAATAATTATAATTATTTTGTTACATATCCGAAAAAATAAAGATAATCCGAACAGTCATAGTATGCTTGAATTAATATTTATAGTCAAACACATAGCTTCGTCTCAATCACGAGTTTGTGGTATACAGTCTGACCTTGATGTTGGATGAATTTGACCGTGGATGTTGTAATGTATAAATTCGTGGTA